CCCCCACCCCCCGTGCCATTCCTGGGCCTTCTGACTCAGTGGCACCTTCATCTGCCCATCAGCCTCATTCTCTGGGCCTGCGGGTCCCTGGCCAGCTTCACGGCCTTCTGTGGATGTGGAGCAGTCTTCGCCTTACATCCCACTCCGTCTATCCATCTGCACAAATGGCACCCTTGTTGTGGGAAGACTCCCTTGTCCTTTCTTGTCCCAGAGACACAGCCCAAGAAAGAGTCCCTTGCTGGAGGTGTGGAGCAGGAAATTACATAGGGATTCTTTGCAACCCTTCAGTATTCGACAGAAGCTGACTCAGGTGCACACTCAGTAAGTGGGGGTGAGTGTGGGGGAGAGCCTTTCTCACTGTCAAGACACCTCATTCCTGGCCTCGGTTGCCCACCTGAAAATAGATCCCCAACCACTGAAAGTACACAGGACAGTGTCTCGCGCAGTATCGTGCTTGTGGATAGCTCTAAACCGAATCCCAGAGTTGCTACCATGCACTTACTTGCCTGTTGCACCCTGGAGGCAGTGCCACCTGCCTGTGTGCGCCTTCATAAAGCTCTTCTGGATGAATACTCTCAGATTCCACTGTTGACCCCAAACCTGTCACAGGCGACCTGCTGGGGCGGGGGTGCATGGGGCCCTGGGTCCACCAAGCTCATGTGATGGGCACTCAACAGAGAAAGGGGTGCGTAGGCGAGGGCTGGGCAGGAGCAGCCTCTCACGGGCCCCTGCTTTGCCTCCTGGGACTCAGATCCCCTGGTTTCTTTGCTGTGTGCCTATCATGAATCCTCAGCAGGGTTTCCTGTCCCAGGAGGGAGAAATGAGCCGTGTGGGGTACACCAGAGGGTGATGCAGCCCCATGGGGCTTGTCTCCTGCTGAGGTCCCTGCCAGAGCGGGGCGCTGAGGGCCACAGCAAGGACACGTCTCTGGCTGGAGTGAGGACATGGACAGCATCAAGGAAGGACAGGCTTCAGAGCATCTTTGCCCTAAACAGGGACAGATCCAAATACTAGTGGGGTGGCTGCCTGGGGTCCAGGGAGGTTTTGTTATAAGTGGGAGCTAAGCCAGTAGTACTGCATGAGAGGAAGTGGGCACGCAGAGCCCATGGCAACTGGAGACGGTGGGTTGTGACGCCTGCTTTTGGTCGATGCTCTCTGTTCAGCACAGTGGAAAGTGAGGCCATAGAGGAAGGCATGGAACAGGAGAAGCAGATGCCAGCTGCCTCCAGGAAGTGGGGGAAGATTTCCTTCCGGAGTATGCTGAGGGTACAGGGCTAGTGGCCACGGTCTTGGAGACTGAGGAGCCACAGGTCTGTGGGCTGCTGTTCCATGCAGGGAGGTGGAGGGAAGGGAGCAGAGAGTGTGGAGTACACGGTGTGAGTTTCAAGCTGTGGGTGACACCTGCCATGCTGGGTAAGGAGAGAAGGGTGGAGGTGTGTGGGTGACCAAAGTGCAGGAGGATCGCCAGGTGAGCCAAGGACTCCGCTGGTGGCAGTCCTGGGGAATGAGTCCTGAGGAAGGGTGGCTGAGGTATAGGGAGTTAGCACGCAGCAAGGAACAGTGAGGCAAGAGCCAGCCAAGAGGACCGGGAGGCCACACAGGTGAGGGTAGGGTGAACCGTGGGCTTGGGGTAGGCAGTGTGGCCCCAGATGCAGCCTCCTCTAAGGAGGAGTGGTCTGCAGGTAGTGAGCACTGAGCAGGGCACAGAGGAGGCTGGATTTGGTGTTCACAGCTCCCCTCTTGGACAGCATGTACACAGGTAGGGGAGAATGGCTTCATTTAGCACAGCATGGCTCTAGCCTTCCAGAAAAGAGACCCTGGGGTGAGGGAATTTGCACCTTCCGGTGAGAATTCCAAAGGCATATGTCCTGAGGGTGTGCAGGCAGAAGAGCCGAATAGCAGCCACTTCCCCAGGGTACAGATATCCACTGAGGGCAGAGGGGTTCCGTGTGTGGAAGACAATTCTCAGCATGCTGGGATTCAACCACATGAGGCCTGGAGCACCTGGGGCTGCACAGTCTGATGGCCAGATGTTTCCACAGGTGTGGCCAGGTGGCCCCGGGCAGGCACTCCAAGCTCAGTCCCAGGGGAAACACGGTGCTGCTGAGGGTGCCTGGGAGAGCCAGGATGCACAGGGGCGCTGTGGTACAGCGCTGTCTTCCAGGGCAAGGCAGTGGCATTACTTCTGAGTGTAGACTTCTCCACCAGACAGCTTCTTCCACAAGAGCTGGGAGTCTCGCCCTGAACTCTGAATGTTGGGTGTGCATTTGCTGGTCTTCCGCAAGATGCTGGGTGAGATTGTTTCTTGGTTTCTAGGCAAATTCTGGACATGTGAGCCGGCCCTGAGACTACAGTGTGTGTCTCCTGGGCGCCCTAATGATCCTCAGAAGCCTCCAGGTGCGGACTGGTGCACCTGACGGTGTTTGGCTCCTTCCTTGTGGAGTCTTCCTCGTTGCTTGGGATGGGCAGGCAGGGAATGCCGGGAAGGCCCATGGCAGTGCAAGGCTAAGACCGGGACCAAGTGCTGCTCGTACACAGACACAGAATAACCGCACAGTGAAAGCCACTGGAACACAGAGGTTCCAGTGCACCTGGAGTGCAGGACACGAAGGGAACAGCCCTTCATCTGTCCTTGGGAGCAGGAATGCAAGTCAGGTTCAGAGAGCCAACGGCAGAGGCCTGACTGCAGGTCCTCATGTCAGAGAGGCGGCGTGTTAGTTTGGAAGCAAGTGTCACCAGCTCCAGGCACCAGAAGGAAGGCGAGGGAAGGACAGATGCAAACAGACACAGCTGTCACCTGGATAGGGTGCCCGAGGGACAGGGTGGACAGATGGAACCATGGCCCAGGCAGCAGGGACAGCTGGATTTGCCTGTCTTGCGCTTCAACCTCCACTGTCAGAGCTGAGCCCTCCCAGGATAGCACAACCATGGTGACCCCTTCTTTCCCGTGGCCTGGTACCAGGCCTGGCTTAGAGAGGACGGGTCAGAGGCGGACAGCTTGAAACCATGGCAGGAAATATTTTAAATGAGCAAAAATATTCACTGTAGGGCTCGAGCACTGAATAACACACAGAAGAGTTGTTTCTGGATACAGTGATGATCCTGGGGTCTCTGGGACTGGCAGCTTCTGCACACTGAAATGGTACCAAAGAATTACACATCTGCACCCCTGATGTCTGTACGGAGGGTGATTGAAAAATATGGTGGGGCTGGGGATGTAGCCCAGTGGTTCCAGTGCCTGCCTCGCAAGCGCAAGGGCCCGGGCCTGAGTTTGATCCTGGGTACCAAAAAAGAAAAACATGGTAAATGTGTAACTTTAAACCTTATTATAGTAAAAAACACATTGCCAAGAATAATGGGCTTTGTATGTTCACAGTGAGAGGGAGTATTTTCAGGGTTTGTAGTATTATGTCTTTTACCGTAATAAATATTTTCATTTAAACCTTCCCTATACTTTTTGATTGCCTCTTGTTAATCAACCATTTACAACAATTTCTGTCAAAACACAAAGTGTGCATACACTCACGCACCTTACTCACCAGATCTGGCTCCCTGTGACTCCCAGCTCGTCCCCAAAGTGAAAATGACCATGAAAGGTCAATGTTTGTTATGGATTCAAGACGTGGAGGCGGCCATCATGGTGCCACTGTGAAGGCTCATGGAAGGGGCTTTGCAGAACTGCCTCAGAAGTGAGAGGGGTGTCTTGAGGTGAATAGCAATGTGTCTTTTACTGTAATTATTTAAATGTAAACATTTACCATATATCTCATAGATCTCATTCAGCATGGTATTTAAGATTATTGGGTGCAAACCACGACTTCTAACCACTAAATGTAGCGTTATGAAGCCCCGGATGACCTGGAGCTGGATGGGAGACAGCCCTAAGCTGACTGCGTGGTCCAGCCAGGCCGCAGAACCCAATCAAGGGCTAGTGTGGCTCACATGGGAACAGGGCAAGTGGAGAGGCTGAGCTGGCGAGGAAATGGTGACTTTGGGGAACAGCTTGAACCAGGGGAATTTGTGACGCTCCAGGGGGGTAGACCAGAAGACTAGCATGGAAGCCAGGAGCTGGGGAGAAGTGGAAAGGTGTCAGCTTTGGCAGAGGGAGCATGAGGGCAATGGTTGGCGCCTGGCCCCTGTGGCGGCACCCTGAGGCCCAGCTCTGACTCTTGCTTTCTCAGGGATGATCCTGCAACATTTAGAGTGGCAGATTAGTGCGCAGTGCTCAGGAAGCAGCTCTGAGCAAATGCAGTGCAGTGCTGGGCCGAGTTTTTAGTGTCGTGAATCAAGACAGCTCCAGACCCGGGAGGCACACACCACTGGTCTCCTCCACTCAGCTCCATGACCATCTCTTTGGCAAAGAAATAATAATAAATAGAGAGTTTGGCTCACAGTGAGTGGTCGTATCTGTGCGCTGGTTTTAAAAAACCTTTCTAAGTGGCTTCAGTGAACCGAAACGGTCAGGTCCACTTTATCAACTTCCAGGCACTATTGCAGGACATTGGCAAAAGAACCAGCATTTTCTGGTTTTCACTCATTGTAAAGCGTAGGGATGTAACGGTCATGTGCAGTGTTTGGGGGGGGGACAAAGAACCTGGAACACCTCATCTCCTGTGCACCCACAGAAGCAAAGCAGTTCATTTAAGGTGGTGCTTTCCCGTGAATTCCTGAGTGTCTTTATCTCATTCCCAACATGCCCAGCTAATGCTCACCACTTCGCTGTCCCAGAGATCCCAGGTTCTGAACACAACTGTCTAGGACTCGGGCCACACGAGTAGAGAATTTTCAGTCTCCCTGGTATCCGGTGGTGCTGAAACAAGTGCCTGCTTCTGGATGGCAGGTGCAAAGGCCCTGGGCCTCCAACCCAGTGGTCTTGCAATTGGATAGTGTGTGCAGGGCCTCACACGATGTCAGAGAAACATTCATCTATTGCCATTGCGGACCTCCTTTCTTCCTTTCCTTACCTTTTCATTCTTTTGCCTTTTCCGGTCCGGCGGCAGACACGGGGCTGGGTGACTCCGTTTGCTCCAGCCCAAGTATCTCCAGCTCTACCAGCCCCAAGCTCGACCCGCCGCCCTCCCCCCACGCCAACAGAAAGAAGCACCGGAGGAAGAAAAGTACCAGCAACTTCAAAGCAGACGGGCTCTCTGGCACAGCTGAAGGTAAGGTGTCCTGGGGCCGGGGGCGAGTGTCCGTGCTCATGAATGTCCCTCGCCTTCCCAGTTTGTAAAGTCAGGTCCCTTAAGGCCACCAGGGAGAACATGTGCAGATCGCCACATGTGCTTCCCATTTCCGTGGTGGCACAAGAGGATCCCAGGGTCGTCTTCTCGTCCCTGGCCGACTCAAATGACTCTCACCCCTGTCCCTGGTCACCGCTAGACGCTATCTCTGGCTCCCATGCTGTCCTGGTCAAGTTCTGTGGTCTCACCTGCCTGGTACCCTGGACCAGAGTGTCCATTCCTATGAGGGTCCACACCAAGCCATCACCTTCCTTTAGGGGTCCTTGCTACTGGCTGGACCTAGCTTTCAGTAAGACAACCGTCTCACTCTGGCTTTCAGCGACACGTTACAGCACATGCTTGTGCTGGTTCCCTTTCACTGTCTTGCTCCATGGGTGCTGCAGGGTCGCAGCTGTGAGTGTGCCTTGATTCTTCTTTAAGTCCTTTGTGTCCGTGATCACAGAATGTGATCTTTCTGAAGTGGCTCCTTCCAATGAATTTTTACTTTTTTATCCCACAGATGCAAATGGAGGTTTATACACGTGCACACTCATGCACACACTCCCACACACATGCACACATGCACACATGATGAGAGGCAAAACCATTGCCGCTGTAATGAACAAGGTACCGAAGCACTTCAAAGGAAGATTAAAATTTCAAAACAGTTTTGTAACATGAGTTAGTGTTTGCAAGTCTATCTTCAGCAAGTGTTCCCTGCCCTCAGGCACTGTCTCTGTTATATTCTTTCCCTTTGTGTTTTCACTGTGCTTTTCCTGAGTATCGGGCAGCATGTCCCAAACTTCAGGGACAAACTGCAAGGTGCTGGCCCTGTAAGGGGAAGTGGCCTGTTCCCTCCTGGATCTGGAGGTGACACTGAATGTGGTGCCCCAGAGTGTGGACCAGAGCCTCCTGGCCTACACTCTTCTCATTCCTTCTCCATGGTCCTTCCTGCCACCCCCTGCCCTCGCAGGCTGAGCACTGACACCCACGTTTCTCATGTGATAAATGAGGGAGATTCTCCCATTCAGTGGGCCCTCGGTGCATGTCATTACCTGGTTCCAAGAAGCGAGGGTAGAACCAAAAACAAGTACGACCTGATTGTTTGGGCTGGGAAGGTTAGCAAGTCATGAGACAATCAGCCTTGCATGCAGAGCACAAAGCAGGTGGCGAGCGCTAGGACAGAAGTCTCATACCAGGACGTTTGGAGTACCAGGCTCAACGCCACTGAATTCTGAGCTGTGACTGTACGAGTGAGAGTAGAAAATCATTCAAGACCAGCTTGGACTGCCGAGCAAGACCCTGTCTCAAAAGTACAAAAGAAAAATGTAGAAAAATTATGATTATGGGTCAGAGCACCCAGAGACACCAAAGCCCTTCCCACTGGAGGGTTCGGCTCAGATGCTGAGCCCTGATAAATCCTCACCAACCCACTGGCACACACGGCCACAGCGCACAGGAGGCTTGGGCAGCCACATTGCCAGCAGTCCTGCCCTCCAGCCACACAGACGGGGGACAGAGGAGGACCTCCTGCCTCTCTTCACAGTAAACATCCCCTAATGTCTGCCGTGTGTTTGCAGATGGCCTGTGACTTTGTTTTAAAATCACAAACTGGTGGAAACTAATTTCCAAGCCTACCTGTAACTGCTTCTGTACCTTTTAGTTTTACCCCACTCACGTGCTGGCCGTGGGTGAGATGGGAGCAGTGCTGTAGACGAGGAGGTGTGTGTTCGGCTGGCTGGAAGTTTGAGGAAGTTGAAAAGGCGGCCATGAGCGTGGTAGACCCCTGGGGTATTCCGAGTCTACTCCCAGAGCTCACGCGAATCTGCCCAGTGTGCACTGGGATAGCACGTGACCAGGCTGGGACAGAGAGGACCCGGCTGTCACAGGCTCCCGCTCATTATAGGTGCCACTGCTGAGCTGGGGACACAAGCCAGAAAGGCAGGCACCACAGGAGCAGCCAAATCCGAAAACTACCCCAGGGCCCCTGCCAGGAGGAGCGCATAGGTGACATTGTTCGAAAGTTTACAGCCTGGGCCCAAGGGGACCTCCCTTGCTTTTTCTAGTGACATCTTTCCAATCCAAAAGAAAGAGTAAGTTCTTCATGGAAAAGTGTCACTTTCCCCTGAGGAAAGTTGACGTATCAGGCATGAGTCAGTTTTGCCGAGCTCTGCCCTACTTGATCTTTTTAAGGCACATTTCCCTCTACATTCTAACATTTCCAAGGTCAGATCATTGCCCTACCATCGAACTCACTTTAGATTCAGTAATGTACAAGATGCTTCCTAATCTTAATCACTGCAGGCCCCTTAAAGTGCGCCATGAACATCAAGCTGTTCTTGAAATGGAAGCGAGCCGGGTTTATTTTGTCTTTGGCAGATACATATCGTTTAGCTCTGTCTGACTCTATTTCTGTTTCTAACTCTCACCGGTGGCTCTGGGTGTGGCTTCTGTCACCCGGCCTCGGGCTGAAATCCCACAGTTGGAGACAGCAGCAGCTCCTCAGAGAGCGGGTAGCTGCGGGTGAATTTTGTGGATCTGGTCTGCCTTGTAGAACAGATGACTAGACTCAAATCTCTGACAAGTGGAAGAAAAAGAAACTCTTGACGGCTGCCAGCAGATGTACTTGGGGTCCTGGGGACACTGATGGTTCCCAGAAGCTGTCTCTGTACTGCTGAGTTAGCCCGCGCTGTGTGCCTGCCTGGATGTGGGAAGAGGGCAGGTCTCGTCCTTCACAAGTACTGTGGACATTCTGGCCCTCTGGGCAGGGGTGTATGCCATCCACAGCTGCCCCTTCTGGGGTCCCCAGCACTTCCTGCGTGGACCTCAGTGCCATCCCTGGTGCATGAGTGTGTGTGTGTCCCCCACCCCCAACCCCCAGTTCCTACCTGCTCCACACCCATGAGGCTCTTCTGCCGGAGAATACAAATGACATTCTGTACTGTGTGGCCCAAGGAGCCTTGCCAGAGTTAAGCAGAATGATCATTTTGTTACATTTGCAGCTTAAGATGCGTTCATTCAGTGACCCTGATAAATTATAGAAACAAACTCTGACCAGAGAACTTCTCATTATAAATACATGGGGTTCCAACACAGAATCTGATTGACACATATCTGCTAATCAGAGGAAAGGATGTTTGGATGTCCAAGTCCATCACTGGGCTTCTAAATCACTTCCTTCAGTACCAGGAATTGAACCTAGGGCGTCTGCACTACACTACATCCCCAGCCTCTTTTATTTTGAGACTTAAGTTGCTCTGTGGCTCTAAGTTTCTAAGTTACCCAGGCTAGGCTGAAACTTGGGAGTCCTCCTGCTTCAGCCTCCTAGCATGCTGGGCTTACAGGTGTGTGCCACAGGGCCCAGTTTAAGTAACTGTCAGTACCACTTAAGGGACCCTAAAATGTAAAAGCCAATTGGTGAACTCCGTGACACCCCGTGTCATTAGCACAGGGATGCCTCAGAAAGGTGAATGTGTCCCCCAGTGTCCCCATATCTGAGACAGAGGCCACCAGCATGGGGCGGTGAGGGGCATGTCCTTGTGGGCACGTGAGGACCCCTGTGCAGTTCCCTGGTTGCTCGACACCCACCGGGCTTGGAGCTCACTGTACTCCTGCCAGCCCCACACCGGACCCCGTCAGGATTAGATCTTGCTCTCTCTCGCCTCTGTGTGTGTTTCACACATGCGGCACACCCCCACTTTACATTCTGAAACTTTGTGATGCCTTTATTCAGACAAACTAGACAAAAAGTTAACATTCTACCAGGAGTCTGGCCCGCAAAATCCCAGGGAGAAGCAACATTAATGGTTAGTGATCCAACATTGATATGTGATTGCCTGTTTTCCCCTCCCTGAATGCTTAGAGATTGTTTAGAACCTTGTTAACTAAGAAGGTCAGGATGGGACACTTTGCCACTGAAGGCGGAAATATCCGCTTGGAAACCAACATCCTCTCACCTTACTGCAGAAAAATAGAAAAATTAAAAGAATAGTAGCCTTTCCGCCCTGTTTCCGCTTGTATTCCCCGTATTCCTGTTTAATAGACCATTAAGAACATTGAAAATTAAAATATCTGTAATATTCTTGAACTTAATTTGGATTTGATTTGATAAGAATTGTTAAATATACCCCAAAAAACCTTGTCTATTGCTCAGATCTGGTGACTGCAGCCAGGGACCACAAAACAGGCGAGCCTAGGAGCCAGCCCTGCTGTGAACGGACTCTGAGTGGCAGGGAGGAGTTGTGACGAAGGACGGGGCCTGAGGTGTGCCCCGGGGTGTGCGTCTGGGGGAAGGAAGACATGCCGAGGGTTGGGCGGTCCCGACTTGTCACGCACAGCCCATGGGTGGGAGCTCCAACGTGACGTGTACAGATGTCTAAAGCAAACTTGGGGAGCCCAGCCGTGCTGAGAGGCAGTGACCTCCATCCTGCCATGGACACAGCACTGGTCCAGCCACTGTGGGGCAACTGGGGCTCTGAGACGCAGCTGCCACCTGTGGCCCATGCTCCTGGCCAGGCCCGAGTGTCCAGGTGTGTGCACAGGAAGCTCCTGGGCAGGGAGGATTTCTCCATCTGTAATAACCTGGTATCTCAGGCATTGTCTTTGGGTCACCCCCCTTCTGGGTATCGTGTTGTCAGGCATCCAGCAGAGAGGCGTTTGTTGCGGAGTGAAGCTGCAGTCCCCACCGTCCTGCTCTGTGGCCCCGCCTCTGTGGTCCTCGTTAGTTTTATGACATTCACACATGTTTGCATGCAGTGCTAATCTCCCTGTTTGCCCAGTGAAAGTGGAGAGAGGTTAAGTGCCTTTCTTGTCCTGGGTCAAGCTGCTGGTAGGTGACAGATCTGTCTCTTGATGCTCGGCCTCACACTCTTTCCACCAGGCGAAAAGCAAGTCTTTGAGGTATGTGGAACGGCTTTTGAATGCAGGAGTGGAGCAGACTGAAC